GCTGCCTGACGTGGGGTGACGGGCACGGCATGCGGTAAAGGCGTTCGTGTCCACTGCGCAGTTGACAAGGTAGTAGGTGGTGTTGGTGGTGGGATCGCGTTGGCACAGAATGGGGTTGATTAAAGTGATGATGATGATGATGAGGAGGAGAAACAGAATGTGTTTGTTGGTGCCAGTGTGCGTCATGGTTTTTTTAATTCTTTTCTCTGGGAAAGGTTTTTTGAGTTAGATGCATGAGGTATCAAATGTCTGGTAAAGTCTAGTGATATTGTACATTCTATTCATCCATTTACACCCCATCCATCCATCCATCCATCCATCCATCCATCCATCCATCCATCACATCCATCCATCCATCCCATCCATTATATATTCAAGCACATCCCATCCATCCATCATCCTTTATCCATCCAATCCCATCCATCTCCTCACACCCAACACCGATCCCCCCCTCATCCCTCTATCACCTACCTCCAAACACCGCAAGGTCGTCTTTGTTTTGGTTAAAGTTTGTCTTTTGAGACAAAAAAAATAGAAAATCAAAAGACACATTGAAAAAAAAAAGGCGCGTCCATTTCAGTCGACAAAAACGAATATATTCCAAGTATGTATAAAAAAGAGAATGAAAAGGGATGTTGATGGTGTGTGAAATAAAATAACGAAACGTTCTAAACCGAGCATACGTACAAAAATGAAACGAGAAAAAAAAAGAAGGGGGGACACCATTTAAAAAAAACAAACAACCTAAAGTAAACTGTACATCATACCACCAATCCCTCATTCACACCCCCACACACCCTACTTCAACAACCTCCCCCTCAAATTCTTCAAACACCCTCTCCCACTCTTCTCATGTCTCGTCCTCCCATCCCGTCTCGCAAACCTCTGTCCACACCTCCCACACTCAAAATTCTTCACACTCGTATGCGTCGCCATATGTCGATCCCGATCCTGCTTCCTATACAACACCTTATCGCATTCCTCAACAAGGCACGGGAAACTGCGTGACTTGAAATGCGAGCGACGATGGGATTTCAGGAGAAGACGGGTTGGGAAGGTGCGTGCGCAGGAGGGGAAGGAGCAGGGGTAGAAATGGTGAGGGGGGTGGTGGGTGTTGGGAGGGAAGATGAGATGGTGGGTTGAAGAGTGTTGAGGAGGGTCATTGTCTTTTTTTGTCGTAATGTGGCGGCTTGTTCCATCTCTCGTTCCATCTCCTCAAACTCTGCGTCAAACGCATCACTCCCCTCCCTAAACTCATCCTCCTCACTTTCATCGCTCGTCGTCTCCTCAGAGTTCGCCATTGTATCGAGAGTTGGCGTCACCGGTGATCTCGACGTCTCCTCGACATGCAACGTATCAAGTGGCGTCACTGGTGATCTCGTCGTCATCTCCTCAAAAAAGGCGTCATCGTCTTGGTCGGATTGACGTCTCAGCGTCTCGTACATGTTGATCATGTTGCGATGGTATAGTTGGGCCGCGGTGGGGATGGGTGGGTAAGTAGGCCAAGAAGGGTGATGGGGTGGGTAAGGCCATGGCCATGGCATCATCATCCATGGGAGCGCGTTTTGATGGGGTATATGTAGATTGGGGTTGATGGGAAATACGGGTGTGGGAGGGGGTGATGGTGTGGGGGAGTTGGATCAAGGTCTTGAATGTTGGTTAAACCGCTACTGGAAGATGATGGCGCATTGATGAGATGCGATGGTTGAAGGGGATATGGAGCTTGAAGCGATGTATGATTCGATTGCATGATAGAACGCGATAGGTGCTCATCAGATGGTAATGCCCACTCTGACAACGACAGCATGACGATGACGATGTCCTTTCTTCTTCTTCTCAATGTCTTACAAGTTTTAGTGAAAGTGATGGTTTTAAGGTATAAAGCGCACGGGTCGGTCCTTCGCTCCTTTTTTGTTTTATTTGATGTCTGTACTCCTCCCCACCCTGGCTCCACTCATCTATTAAGGGCGTCAAGTCAACCCGCCAGATCCTGAAAATATGACTGGATGTGATTTCCGTATTGAAGCTTACTTTCATCAGGCAGCACCCCCGCACTGTGGAAATCAAGGGGGCAAAGAGGATGACATGGTAATTATTGCTTTTTAGAGCCAGGGGGATGGTTGACGGTGGGTGTCTTTTGGAAAATTCAAGGAAATTGGTGGGTGTATTGCACTGTGGGTTCGGGGTAACATATTAACGATGGAGTGACAATGGACACGATCTGGGGATGACGCTTGACATGAAAGAAACGCTAGCCTTTAAAGGTAGATAGACAAGAGATCGTATGCAGGATGTAGATGACGGTCACATCGACCGTCGGGTATTAATATTAAAAAAAAGCACATCTAACCATGACCTCGATATCCTTCACTCGACTTTCTGCTCTGTAGTATCCACCACGACTCCCTCCTCAACGACCGCTTCCTCTTCCCCCTCCTCCTCCCCGCTACTCTCCCCTCCACTCTCCGCGCCCATCCGATTCCTATTCACAAACAACCCATCGTCATCACTCCCTTCCCCCTCATCTTCCACCTCCCTCCGAGCAGCCTCTGCCGCATTCGCAGCCTGATCCAGAATCGCCGGCCATAACCCTTCACTTTTCAGCTCCTTTATGTGCTCTGGTCGTAGGACATGAACAATCTCGCCGGAAACTTTGGTTTTGGAGGTCAGGTATTGGATAATGGCGAAACTCCCTTTTTAGAAAAGATCAGCTTCGGGCTTTAAAAAAAACGGGAATGATGTGGGATGGTTTACCTCTTTTGATCCATACTGCGTTCCGGAACTTTGATGGTAGCCTTACAAGCTCGTTCCTTTCTTCGTATGTTTTCTCACCGTCAATCCCTCCTTCCACCAAGTATGCAGTCATGACCTCGTACAGTCCTCCACCTCGTATCTCCACCACCCTCCCAACGTATCTGTTCTCTTCCAAAGGTCTTGGACATGCATCGAGTGCCTGTTGACGTAGTTGTTTCTTGCCCATTATTGACGTTGTTGGATTCCAATGCACACGACAGAGCCTTTTTTTTTTTCTTCCAATGATATCAGAGATTGTCACCTGAATTGTCATGAGAGTTGTCAAGTTTGAAGGGTAACACAAGATAGTTTGACTGGTGGCGCTTCTAACCAATGAAAAAGAGTTGAATGAACTCAATGAGGTTGAACATAATGAAAATTGGTCCGGTTTTAGCTTGTCACATCATCCAATTATAGCCTCACGTAGTATATTAAGGGCGTCGTCTCTACAAACCATCACTACTTCCCCTCCTTCATTTTCTTCCATTCTTTTCTCTCTACAACACCATCGCATCTTCAACAGCATCCACATCCACATCCACATCCACATTCAACCATGCACTCCACCACCCTCTCCTCCTCGCATCCTCCCTCTTCATCTCCCTCGTTGCAGCCCAAAACCCCACCTACCCCGGCTCCACCTGCGGCACCCAACTCGTCACCTTCAACACCTGTGTCGACAACGCCCTCACAGACGTTACAACCACTGCTTACCCCGACGTTGCCGCCGCCTGCGATAGCCTAAGAAACGATCAACCCGCCTACTTTGCCTTGTCTTTGCACAAAGGTTCGCATCCCCCCTTGTTATCATCATACTCATCATCATCGTAGTTTCAAAGCATCCTTTACTGCTACTCCTCAAGCTGTCCTAACGACCCGAACGCCGTCTCCATCCAAAGCTCCATCACCGCCAACTGTAACGTTGCTCAAACCACTGCAACGGGTCCCGTTACCTCTGTTTCTCGGTCCGTTGCTCCCGTCACTGCTTCACCGTTACATCGTTCTCTGCGACTGGTGGACCTGTTTTGAATGTGGGAGGAACGACCACCACTGCTCCTGTTACTACTGCCCCTGCTGCTGGTGTGACGACGACTAAGACGGGAGGCGCGGAGAGGTGTGCGGGGGCTGCTTGGGGGGTTGCGTTGGCGGTTGCTGTTGGGGCTGTTGTGGGGTTGTGAAAAACTATGGACGTGGGGATGGGTTTTGTATTGAGGACAATCGTGAACACAAGTAACTTGTTGTTTCTTTTTTTTGTTTTGACACGCGTTTTATTTGGTCTTAGTTTATTTTTACATATATATTTAGTGATCCGTTATTAATGGAAACTCACCTTGTGCTTTTTGTTTGATATATTTGGCTGTTTTGTCCATTCTATCAATCGCTAGGCCTCACCTTAACGAGTCGATTTCCAAGTGAAAACATAACAGCATAGGAACGTTATACATCAACGCCATTATGCATACAAGAAAACTCACGCGTTTATTCGATCGCATATTGCGTCATATAACACGTCATGGCTGTCTCGTCGTTCACTCCAAACATTGCCTGTAAATGTAAGCCGTTCTAGTACATTTCCTTTTTTACCTTTGATCGCGAAACGTATACCAAAAACATCGCTTATACGTACGTCGTGGAGACCCATAATGGGCTGATTATGAACACGCCCACTTTAATTCACATCCGGAACAGAAGAAGGTGGAAGAAAAAATAATATCGCATGCACAACGCAAAAACAAAAACAAACAAGCTCGGTACTTCATTAATCTCGAATACGAACAGCTTACATTCACTTTAATATTCCTTTGGAATCCGACTCCTGCTTTTTTTTTTTTTCGTTTACGAATTGAAAAGGTATGTATGTCCAGTCACGGCTTGCTGCAGACGATCGCGAACAGAGTTATCCAACATCTTACGTGAACGAAAATCGGGTAGATGAATGATAGAATTTTAAAAGGTTAGAGCTTGGGATACTTTTGTCAACTTACGATATCATTCATTCTGCTGCACGTTAACATTGGTCCTAAAAAGCATTTGTTTAGAACATGTTGGTAGGTATTTATTTATTATTGACAAGTCGACTCCTCACAAAAGTTTTCCCCACCCAATCACCGTCATCAATCGTCTGTCCAATCATTACAGTGCTTCTTACAGTGCTGCATTAGGTATATATAGCACCGGATCAGAATTTTGAAATATAGAAAATCAAGCCCTTCTTAGCTCAGTTGGAAGAGCATCTGACTGTAACGAGCGCAAGCTCAACGATATCAGGAGGTCTCCGGTTCGAACCCGGAAGAAGGGATTTGTCAGCTATCCGTTTTTGTCGATGGTATTCGTTTTGCTAACGAAAACAACTCTTTTTTTTCGTCTATAGTAATGACTGCTAACAAAAACATACAGAATAATGCATCGACAAAATTTCAGGATTAGAAGGTGCGCTGGCGGAGTAGGCTGCTCGTGGCTCGATGAGAAAAAGAATTATGAGATTGCAAGGGATTTTGGCATTCACGAATGTGACCGCATGACGCCGAATGGATTGGATGATCAACTCACACGCAATTTATTTTGTTTTAAGTCATCTGTATAGTCATCTCCACAAAATTATGGCAAGAAATTGAAGAAAACCTGAAGAAAACGTAAAAAAAAACATTGTAATTTGTAACAGGATATCGAGGCTTACAATTGTGTGCAAACTGCAGGCTTCTCATATAAATGTATATATGCATATGGATATATAAGGGGTTAGACTCCACGCTAAACAAGACTGTTAATTTGCACCCCATCCTAAAGGCGTCACTTATGTCCAACTATTTTCGATCGAGCAGAGGTCTAAGATGCGCAAGTGTGGTAACGTTAAGAGGGTTAATATGGCGGATATCGGATGGAAGAGTTATGTTTTATTTCTTTCCTCTTTGATAAATACAGAAAAGCAAAAACACTTAGAGACCAACAGCAGCGTTGAACTGGTTAGCCGCTGCAATGTTCTGCGCGGCTTTAGCAGCATCAGCACCGGTAGAAAATCCGCGGGCCCCAGAAGCGACGAGAGCAGCACCTGCAGTCTCACACTTGGCCCTGCATCCATCTCCCTTGACGAGGTTAGTGCAAAGCTGTCCAACGACGACACCAGGGTTAAGCGCAACCTGGTTACCGTTAAACCCAAATCTGTTCTCGTTGCCTCTCGAGATGAACTGCATCTTGGGACCAGTGCAGGTACCAGCGGCGCCGTTGTTGTTTCCCTGACCCTGGTTGTTGTTCTGGCTCCCTTGACCTTGGTTGTTGTGTTGCCTTGACCCTGTTGTCCACCGGCAGCTGCACCAGTAAATTGAGCAGCAATGTTGCTCTGCTTACCAAGCGCAACGTTAAACCTATCAGCAGCCTCAGCAGCCGTCTTGGACTGCGCAGCGTTGAATTGACCAGAGTAGCCACGGGCGCCATTCATGGCGCGTCCGGCTGCCTCACAGTCGGCCTTGCAGGCTCCAGCTTGGTTACAGATCTGCTCAATGACGATGGCAGAGTTCAACGCAACCTGCTGGCCTCCACGTCCGAAACGGTGTTCACTACCACCAGGTTGCGAGATGAATTCCATGGCTTGGACGTTGGAGCAGTCCCGGACGGCGGGAGCAGCAGCTCCTCCACCGGTAGCCGGGGGTGCGGGAGTGTTAGGGATCTGTGCAGCAAAGTTGGACGGATTTCCAAGAACAGCGTTGAAACGGTCGGCGGCTTCAGCGTTAGCGCGGGTCTGAGCGGCGTTGAATTGACCAGAGTATCCACGAGCTCCGTTCATGGCGCGTCCCGCAGCGTCACACTGAGCCCTACAGTTGCCAGAGTTGTTGCAAATCTGCTCAATGACGATCGCAGAGTTTAACGCGACTTGTTGGCCACCACGTCCAAAACGGTGTTCTCTGCCACCAGGTTGTGAGATGAATTGCATTTGTTGGACGTTGGCGCATTGGCCTCGACCCGCTTGGACTTGAGGAGGAGGGGGTGGAGGTGGTGCGACGACGGCAGGTGGAGGAGGAGTGGGACGGTTGTTGTTATTGTTGTTGTTGTTGTTTCCAGCACCAGTGCTGCCGTCACCACGAGTAGCACCACCACGGGGTGTGAAGGCGGCGATACCGTCAAAGCCGTTTGCCTTTTAAAACAAAATTGGTTAGGTTGTAAGTAACAAGGAAGAAGATGTATGATACTTACAAAGAGAAGGTCGGCCATGGAAAGCGCGTTACTGGCCCCAGGACCCGTACCGGCAGCCTTGGCGGCGTTCTGGATCTGTAGAGCCCTCGCATTCAAAGCTTGAGCACGAGCCGAAAGCGTCTGGTCATTGTTGTTGGGCGCATTGGTGCGAGGGTCAACTTTTTGTAAGATTCCTTTGAGCTCTGCTTGAGCTGGAAGACCCGGAGTGGTGCAGACCTGTTATGATGTAAAGGTATAATATTAGGTATAACGAAATATATAAACATATGTATGTAGAGTTTGTACATGAGATCAAAACTTACCGTGTCCAGGTTTCCGGCGAAAGGATTGAAGTTCCTCTCAGCAGCAACGAGATCGACGGCAGCGTCGATGGCTTGTTCAATAGCGTCAGTATCGGCTCCACAGGAAGCTTTGGCGCGAACGATAAGGTCGTCTGCCATCTCGAGCTTTGCGCAAGGTGAGGCGCCGGCGAGGAGGAGGGCAATCTCTTGACCGCTAAATTGACGACCGAGGGCTTGATCGTTGAGACAGGCGGGGCCGCTGATTTTACTGGCGAGGTTGACGGCGTTTCTTGACCGAAGCGGGCGTCGACGGAGGTGAAGAAGAAGAGCGGAGGCAATGGCGATGATAGTGGTGAATTTCATGATTGCTGAATTTGTTGAGAGTGAGTTGTTGAGAGTGAGCTTATGGTATAATCAGTATGAAAATGTTGTATTCTGGTTTTGAGGTATGGCGAGTGATAGTCGGCCGTAAGAGCTACTGGGGTATGGAAACAGTTGAGTATTGATGGTTGAAGATAGCGTTAAAGATGAGTGGAATTTACGCGTATTTATACGTCGAGTTTCGTAGAGTTATGAGACGTGACCATGAACTAACACTTACCGCAATCTAAAACAAATCAGCTAAACGCGCCTAGCAGTCTGATTGGTTATTTTCTGTATATTTCCGTACATATGGGGAAGTTTTTTTGCAGTTCATATCTGTTCGTTTGCCATAGTAACATGCGGCCACTTGTGGTAAAGCGGCTTTACCTGCACAGCTGCCACAGCATGCCCACTGAAACAAATCTGCCGCTCTTTTAATCTGCAGTGACGAATCTTGAAACTTACATTTATAAAGGAAATGAAAGCTTAGAATTGATTGCTGCTATAAGCCATTATGGGCGTGTAAAATAATTTTAAGAGTTGCCTACTTTGTGACGTTTTTGTTGCAGAGCTAACTCTGGGGTCCGAGCCGTAAAGGTTATTATTGCGATTGGTTACGTGGTCCTTGATATCTGAAGGAAAAAGGATTTGCTAATGATCTTGAGTGTGAACAACCCACTTACGAGAAGAGTCAGTAGTTATCTCTGATTTCCCTCTTTCTTGAGCCCAAACTCAAAGAGGATGTGAATGAGAGTTATGACGAAAGAGTGCGCTCGACAATGATAAAGGATTACGTCCTTACGGTGAATGACCTAGTGTTAACAAAACATGCTTTTGATACTTTACAAATACACGAAGTATGAGGCCAAATGCTAAGTCGAAATGCTCAGTCGATTATAACGTTCCCATTTTTGACTATTCACTTTGAAGTGCATTTACTAAAACTTAAAGTAAATATTTCTCAAATGTTTAGTCCTTAAAGCGCTGCCGGGTAGTTGGGTAGCTGGCATTCACATGCTGTTTTGGACAGTAATTGTGGGGGTTGAACGAAGTAAAGCTCAAACTGGATTTCAAAGTCTAAACAACTAAGTAGATAAGATTTCAAAACTACAATATGTTTTTGATACAGTCTTATCATCGCTGTCTTTTCCCTGTTTCCCCCTCCCCCGCCCGCTTGACATGAGAAAGATAAAAAACGTATTCTCGATTAAAATAAATAACGGGTGAAATGCATATCTCCCCAATATGCCCCATCATGCGTTTGGTATTTCTAGTCCTCAAGATTTATCCAGTCTACAAAATATGGGCGATATTCTTGTTCACTTTATAAGCTACGCGAAGACAACCAAAATGATGCTAGGAAGATTGGTAAAGTCATACAGGTCAACAAAACGCTTACACAATCCGCATCACAACAAACAACACAAAACCACAAAAACCATCACAACATCTCGTCGTATGGTCATGTCCTTAACCCCTAAACAATGCTCATTAGCAAACGGATACTGATCATCGCGGAACCTTGTAATAACCGTACAGCCAGAAACAGCAGGACGGTTGTTCGTCTCATTTGAATAAAGAACAATAGAGTGCATCAATCATAGAAAGTCTTTTGAGGAATTTAATTGCTAGCGAAAAAACATGGATTGTGGAAGAATCAAACTTGGAATCGCGACGATTGAAATAGGAAAAGGGGTTTATACATTTCGGTAGATATGAAGAAGAGGAGGGAAAATGATGGATTTTGAAAATGACGAAGGGTTGGGGGTTGGGTGATGGTGGGAGCTTGACAAATGTCCCAAATCGAATAAGCATGACACGAAAAAGGTGCAGAAATCATAATAAAAAAAAAGATTGAAGAAGAAAGAGACGGAGGCTTAAAAGTTGGCCTGTTTTTTTTTTGTATAAGAAGACAAAGAAGAAGAATCACCTGAAGAATAATAAAAAAAAAGACGAGAACGAAGGATATAGAATAGAACAAGAAAAAATCAGTTGTTAATAAACAAAAAAATAAAAATAAAAATAGAAATCAATAAAAAGGAAGAAAAAAGAAAGAAAAGATACCGGATCGAAAAAAGCCCCGCAAATAAAATAAATTGAAAAGCAAATAAATCAACAACGCCGCAGAAGAAACGTAACACCGCATATATCTCTCAATCTCTCCATCCAAACATTGATCGTCGCTTCATAGTCCTAGGTGTCTGATTGCCAGTCTCCCCGAAAAAAACTTCATCCACGTCTCTCGCAACCGGATGAATCAAATCTCTCGCCACGGCTCTAAAACCAAAACTTCCTCCTTTCGCGCTTTCCTAAACCATTTTACACGCTTCCCTTTCACCTCCTCATCCACAAGGGATTCAGAGATGTTTAACGAAACAGGTTGGGGCTCATCGGTTTTTAAAGGTAATATTGTCGCGTCAATCGGTTCTACGATTGTTGCTGTAGAGGTTGATGAATTCCGTGTGTG